ATGGCCACTACATTTCTGCTCTCAAAAATTCTTGAATCCAGAACAGTGACATTTTATATTACGCTTCATCCTGATGGATAAAGACGGCTTGATCACAGGATGAACAGTCAATTGGAAAGGGTCTTTATTCCATTTGCACACAACAAATTTAGTCGAGTCCTGATGTTTCTGATGCTGTGAAAGGACAGATTTCACAGATTTGAAAACTATTTTTTCTCATCTGGGTGGAAGAATTTAAACAAAAAAATACGAATGATGCTGGTGAGCTATCTAGCAATGTTCAAAACAGCTACAGACCAGAAGGGAAGCTATACTAATTAAAAAAAAAAAAAACCACGATAAACAGCACAGTTGAAAACAAGCTCCTCGAGGACTGAAAACTAACTCAGCTTCAAGCATTTCTCTTTTCTTCTCACGGGCAAATGGAGAAGTTGATAGCAATTAATATAAGTTGAAATCCAGAAAATAGGTGTAGATAACAAAAGGGACATATGGTTAGCATAATTGAGGACAATAGGAAGTTACTTTTCATGTATAGCAAGAATACAAAAACCAGTAACAAGAGTATTGATCCAATACTAGATAGAAAAGCTGTATCAAGAATTAGCAGAAAAGGCAAAAATGTTGAACAAATATTCTGCTCTGTGTTTGAGGAAAAGCCAGATATATTCAATCAGATGATGAAATAGCTTTCATTGACAGTAGCTAATGAGGATGTTAAACAGTAGGTATTAAAGTTAGACATTTTGCAGTCGAGATTTCAGCTTAAGTTGCATCTAGAATTTTTCAAAGAGCTGGTCCATAAGTGCTGTGGAACATTAATGTTGATTTTTTAATAAATCCTTTGAAACTAGGAGGATTCCAAAAGACAGCAAAAAGCTAACATCATGCCAGTACTTTTAAAGGCTAAGTGGCATAACATGAATAATTATAAGCCTGACATCAATCAGTGGAAAATATTGCATAGCTAACAGGAGGCTGACTAATAACTGTTACTCATAAGTATTAATTATCATTAATATTATTCATAATTCAGCTCTATGTTAGCTAGTAAATTTAAATGGGTCAGTGAAATTAAAGCTGATCTGTGTGTTTATTGATTTAATCAAACTGAATATAAGTTTTTAAAAGATTAACAATTAGGTTGAGAGAGGTAATGATGTGGAGGTAAGAAACTCTGAGGAACGTTTGACTTGGCTTCATATATCGGCCTGGTTACATCATCTGAATTATGCAAAGTCAAGGTTAGATTTGTTACCAGCCGTAAGTACCAGCAGTTAATCAGACTAACTGTGGTCATACCCAGTGACTGAAAATTGAAGCCAAATAATTTCAGGTAGAAGTAAGGTACGTATGTTTGTTGGGAACAAGGTCATGGAAAAAATTTGTCATTCTGTATGTTTTCAAAGGTGAATCTGGTATAAGTAGTTCAGGCAGTGAATGTGGAGAGCGATGAGGAGCAGCAGAAGCAGCAAAAGCAGCAATGGGCAGCTCGTTCCCCTTCCCTGCCCATCTGCGTGCACAGGCAGCACTTCTTTAAAAAACTTTCTTATCACATTATTCCACTCGCTCTGCACAAGAAGGCGTTCTGAGCCAGGGACAGCCCTGTGGCACTGGCACACAGCGCAGCTCTGGGCATCGCAGCATCTCGGGCAGCGGCGGGTGCGGAGCTTGGCAGTGGGCACCCATCAGCCTGAATTTTGTAAGAGGTGGGAAAGGATCATCACGAAGTGCCTTCTGGCTTCTAGGAGTTATTTTGAGGTATTTCTGAGCTGTTCATTGACGGGCAGGTGTCCTGTCCAACATACCAAACCTGGACAAGGTGGCCCAGTCCTGGGAGAAATGGAACTAAGCCCCCGGAGCCATGTCACTTTCCCATGCCCTCCTCAGCCTTCTGCCTCCATGCTGGAGGGATGAGGAGCAGCTGCCCGGCTCCATTGGGTATGTGGGGAGGCCCTGTGCTATTCCAGCAGCCTCCCCTTCCCAAACAGCTGCAGGGAAGAAGCCATAGATCTGGTGGAAGCATCCTGCGGGCTGGGTCTGGCCCACGGGTCACAATGCTGAGGCTGGATAAGGCAAATTATATCACGTATTTTCCAGGGTCGAGTTCTCTGTCAAGATGAAGCCAGAAGGATGTAACATTTAACATTGTTTTACTTTCTTTACAAGTCTTCAATGTAGGACTCTAAAATCAAGTCCTGCGGTATCATTTTCCACAGAAATGGTTCCTGTAGCCTTTGGTAAGTGTCAGGAGTGTCGTTATGCTTCGAGCACAAACCAAGACAGGATGAATAAAAATGGATAAACTACTTTTAATAGATGTTATCTCACTTTGTTTAGGGAAAGCTGTAGGTCAACTGAAGCGAATTTAGATTAAAACAACAGAAATATTGGAGAGATGTATGAGAAGAAATTTAAAAATATGTCTAGGCAGGGACTGAATGTAGAAAACAGAATCACATCAGATTAGTAAAGCCAGAGGAATGAAATAAATTGTTTTAAAAACTGACATGTACTTAGTAAAGAAAAGTTCGGACCAGGTTGCTCTTACAAGGGAAATTGTGTCACCCTGATAAACCATCACTGCAGCTGACACTAAACTAAGCAGAGCTCTGTGTGAACATGCTGGGAACAGTCCTCTGCTTGTCAGGCACAGGTGACCTGGAAGACGCTCTCTCAGTTCTCTGTCCTGCACGTGGATGAGCACCAACTTGTAACAGGTGTTAGGGGAGCACTCTCCAGATACTGCAGTTGGAACAGGAATATTCTGTATTGTAAATGAGAGCACTCAGGCTACAATTAGTGTCACCGAGTTTTACAATATATCGCTGGTAGTATGAGGAATGGACTACAAGTTTGCAAATCCAAAAGGAGGCTTACAATTTAAAACATGATTCTATTTCTTGTGATGGCCTTTCTAAATCTTACTAGTTTTGACCTTGGAAAAAAGGTAATATTCCTGTGACTACTCCAGTCCTGCAAGTTACCCTTTCATTGCCCAAGGGTCTGCTTTCTGTCTTTACTACCCGTATCACAGGGTATGCTCCGATTGGAAGGAACCCCTCCGATCACTGAGTGACAGCACCCATGTCACCCAGGGCCGCATAATCGTGTTCATACGTATCTCAATCACCACCTTACTAGACAGTTTGCCCGTGCTACTCCGATATTGAACACTGTCCCAGACTGTCAAGTCTTTGATGGCTGGGAAACAGTTGCAGGGAATTTATATATATAGTTTTGCCTTACTGTCATGGAACACCTGTCTTCTTGTTGTTTTGGGTTTTTTTTTTGTAACCTGTAATTTTGGTTTTGGTATGTAACCTGCACCTCAGTTTTAGTGCATTGGTTTCAAAATTTACTGTTTTCCTGAGAAATACAAGTCTAGCAAACCTGGGGAGGCTTACCACTCCTGGCTGAGTTAATAGTGCCGTACTTCTCTTCCACCTTGCACCAGAATCAGCCTTCTTGTCAGTAGTGGGAGTAAAAGCCTCAGTCAAAGTTTAGGTCCTTTCTTGACTGCCACAGTTCTTTTCAGACAGGATACTTTGACAGTTGTCATAGAGAAGCTAATAATGTTATCCAGAATGTTTTTCGTTTATCCATAAGTTTGGTACTGTATTTCACTTACTATTTTTTTAATTACAAAATGTGATGATGCAAATATCCTGAACCATCAGCCTAAGACTGCAGAAAACTCAGAGGTGGAGAGAGCTGAGAGTAAAATGCCTGAAGGCTTTGTGGAGGAGAGAGAGGCTACTAGGAAGCAGGGGCAGACAGCTTTTGGAAGAGCCAAGTTTTAGTATATCTGTGGCTTCAGGAAGCCCTACTGAAACTTACGTTTGTGTCACTTGCCCATGTGTATAACCTGATTTGTGAAGCAGCATTTTTTCCAACTCTCGGGTTATGTATGTGAACAAATGGAATTATTAATAATGCAGCTAAGTTTCATAACCTGTAGTCTTTTTTTTTTTTTTCTGCTTTACCATATAGTCCAATTGAAATAAAACTTCGGGAGAGATTTATGCAAGTCACAAAGCGCAGTACCTTGCAAGTGGTCTTCTCAAGCTCCCTGAACAGTGTGAGGTAGTCCTCCTAGAGATTCGTTGTACCTGAAATATAAACTGTATAAAATCCAAAGGCGCAAATGTAGGAACTCTTCCTCGCCACTCCCCAAAACACTTCTGTTTGAAGGGCGCCAAATACCTTTTCTCTTTTAAATGTTCATTGTATGTGCCAGTACAATTCACTGATCTGTAAAAGAGAGTCATTCACCTGTGGTTACCGCATAGCACAGTAGTACTTGATCCCCAAGAGCACTGGTGGAGCTGTAGAAATGACAGGTATTCAGTTGCTGGATTTAGATTTCCCAGTTACACAGTTCTCCAGTGTACCAATGGGAAGCACTGAGAACAGTGTCGCATCTTTGTTACCTGTCTTTAGAGAGGCACCAAGGACTGTAGGTACAAAGAAGGTGCCTTCTAGCCGTGCAAGGTGGTCACCCTAGCATGAGGTCTAGGGCCTTGAGCTGGCTGCTGTGTAGAACCAGAATAGACTTTAATTGTTGCATCAAACACTGATTTTTAGGGTTAATCCTGACTGTAGCTTTCAAGCCTCAGAAAATGTAAGTATTGAATAGTATCTGTCCTGCAGGTTCATCAGCACAGAACTGATTTCCAAAAATGCACTCAACAGAAATATTCTCTCCCTTTCTATCATCTTAAAATGAAGGAATCTAACTATAGCAGGTTGCACAGCATGAGGCACCTTGTGCATGAAAAATTACACAATTATGAATGTTTGGATTAGTTTATGTGATTGACTGATCGTCCTTAAGTACTTTATAACGCAACCATTCAGCAAATTAGGCTGATGTGATGTATCCCTATCAACAAGTAATTTCCTATATGTTTGTTTGCAGTGTTCTCTAGCAGCTGCATTAAGTTTGTTAATGAAGTATGCTGAGTAGATCGTGATTCCCCTCACTTTTTATTTCATAGGTTGGTGAGACCAGATGCAAAAAAGTTTGCACTTCGAAATCTGATCTGAGATCCAATGATTTCAGCATTGTTGGAAGCTTGCCAAGGGATTTTGAATTATCGAATTATGACTGTTATGGGAAGCCCATTGAAGTCAACAATGGGCTCGGGAAATCTCAAGCCAAGAACAACAAGAAGCCTCCTCCTCCCAAGCCTGTCATTCCATCAGCAGCAAAGAGAATCGATCTTTATGCAAGAGCACTGTTCCCTTTTTGCTTCTTGTTCTTCAACGTCATATACTGGTCCATATATTTATGATAAACCTTTTCTGTATTTTTTTCATATGTGTAAAATATATCCCATCTCATTACCCCTTCCCAGTCATGAAGGCCACTGTGTGAAAGTATTTTCATTTGCAAGGCAATATGTTGCATTTTGATGCCATGCGATTGTACTGAACATATGGCATCTGAAATTTGAATGAAAGCATGACACTGCAATGTCTGTGCTCCGGCCAACGTTGTATATAAATGTACAGCATACATCCTGCTTTAGGAATATATATGAAGGACAATGCATACTACATTATAAGGCTGAATAACGCTCTTCAGTTATTAGTAACGTACAGAGATTTAAAGTGTTTCTGACAATGAAACTGATGTGCACGTTGAGTATTATTAAAATCAGTATTCTAGTATATGTAGTACTTAACAGCTTTTCTGCTGACTTCCAGAGGGGAAAAAAAAAACAAAAACCACAACAAACATCTTGTTCTTGTATAATTTCAGATGGCACTGTTGAAGAAGAAGCTAAGTTGTCATTCGTATTATTTAGACTTTGTAAGTGAAGGCAGCACTGAATAAGCTGGTCTTGTCTGTGGAAAAATAAAGATCAGAGAATTACCAATTTTGTAAAATCAGCTCATTTAGAGAAAAACAAAAACAAAAACAAAAACAAAAACAAAAACAAAAACAAAAACAAAAACAATTGTATCCATCAAGCAGGCACACTTAAGCGTGTGAGAATATGCTGACAATAAAACATTGGGCCAAATTTTGATTGCTGTTTCCTTAGGCACAATCTAGATACAATACATCAAAAACGAACAGGCCACTTTCTGAACTAAAAGTATCAGGAATTTTGGAGAAACATCACAAGATGAAGTTCAGTATCAGGTTATTTTATACTTTTTTACATTACTCTGTCTTCTGGCTCATCTTCTGTAGCGTCTGGCAAGCCTGCAATATATACATCACAATTTTTTTTGTTGTTGCATCAGATACATCTTACTCAATTTGTTTCATTTATTCCCTTGAAAGCTTTCAGTTTATGCAAACCAGTTGTTGTCAAGAAGAAATCCCATTTTTGCCACTAATTACACTTCTTTGTCTGCCTGTTGTCGCACAGATGACCAAAGCTTACACCTAGCCACCAACAGAAGTGAAGAAGCATCTAAAGGCCTAAGGGGCTGACACTCTTAAATATATCATGAGTCTTTGTGCCTATGTGTTAAGTAATAGCTGCCTGCCCCAACTGGCTGATTTGGCTGCTACTTTTTGGAGAATAAGGTCCTACACGTGAACTTGCTGATAGGAGACTGCTCTCCATTTTCTGGAGGAAACCCCATGACATAGAGACTACAGAAACATGATCTCCCCAGGGTGCATAGGGCAGGACGTGTGGTCTCCCGTGGGTGCCAGGGTTCAACCCTTTGTAAGGGCAAGTTATGAGGTGAAACGTAGCCAAAAGAAAGCTGCTTGTATGTAGGCAGCTGAGTAGCGTGTGTTCCCCAGGAACGTGCAGGGACTGTTCCTCAGCCCTTGTGAGCGTGCCATAGGGAAACGTGCCTCCTCTTGTAAAGCTGGAGCACCGCAGTTAGTTAAAATATTAAAATAAGACAGTTCTCGCTAACTTGGTAATTCGTAAAAGGAAATAGGGATTATCGGCTCCTCATAGGTGAGGAAGGGACTGAACTAAAGACCTGAAACCTTCCATAGTGCGGAAACAGACACAAACACACTTGTTGTGCTACATGTCTAGCTCAGCTAAGATGTGCTGAGTCAATGCAGGCTGCGAGTAGCCTGTTGGGTCATTTGTGTACTGTCCACCACGTAAATGTTGTCCATATATGGTGAGCCTGCACAACCAGAAGGTCAAAAGTAGGAACATAAAAAGAGAGAAGCATGCCATGCTGGCTTCACTGGGCATCTGGCAGATTGGCGCATGCCCAGGGTTTTTTCTGACCACTGCCACTTTGTGTCAACAGCCTGGTTGCAACGAGTTGTGTTTGGGTTGAAGATACCTGCTTTTCAGAATATGGTCACATGCTTTCCACCAGCTTCCTGGCCGCTTTCTCACGGAGATTTCAGGGAGCCACTCTACCAGGCAGCTGCAGTTTGTCCTTCGGATTTCTTTCCAATCAGAGGAAATGGAAGGGGAAATCCCGAATGTTACTGAACTGTGTTGAACCAGAGGGAAAAAAAAAATTGCATCTTTAAGGTCCAGTTCAAAGTTCCAACATTTCTGTCTGTTGAAAGTATTTACAGAATTGTCAGAGACTCTCAGAAGCAATAAGGATAATTCAAAGAGAGGAAGGAAGGGAGGGGTAATTTTTCTATGTACAATCAGAGTACTATATTTATAGACATTATTTATTCTCATACTTGTATTTTTTCTTACAGTAGTGGAAGGCAAGAAAATAATTACCCCGCGTTGGAAATTATATGAATTTTGGAAGATAATTTTCTTGTTAGAACTCTTATTAAATGATTTATCTGTAATTAATGTCCACATTCTATCTGTATAATCTCAATTATAGATTTTATTGTTAAATTAATCTTTGTTCCTTCTTGCTTTCCTGCTTACTTGATGGCTTTTGTGTTTTATCATGAAACATTTAATCAATAATACACTGTAATTGCTTTCCAACTCACACAAAAGGAAGCAAAAGGAATGTGTATTGTTAAGATAAAGGCTTTTTGTTCATTACAGCACAAAAACTAAGGACAGAAGCAAAGTCTGACAGCAAATTTGAAACAAAATTTAAAATAAAACAGTATCAGCTATAAAGTATTAATTTTCTTTTTACTTACACGAGATAATATTGCAGTATTTTTATTACCTTGGAATATATTAACTTGTCCTACTGAGCAGTAATAATTGATTTATTTTCTTTTTCTTCTTTCCACTAAAGGTCATTGAAAGTTTTGCATACCATATCACATTATGGTCCTCCAGCACCCTCTAGTTGTAAAATTCTGCCTGTTGACTTATTTCCAGAATGAGGTGCAAATATAAAACTGTATAGGGAGTATAGGATGTTACTTGATAGTGATAATATGAAGGGAAAAATACTAATAAATTGAAAATAAATGGACATAAAATCAATGGACAGCTATAGAAACGTGCCATGCAGTAAGAATTTAAAATTATAGAAATTAAACCATTCAAGTTATAGCGAAGGGGAGGCTCATGAAGTACACATTAGTAACTAGATTAACTAGTCGTGATATCTGAACAAACTGCATGACAGCAAAATCTGTTTCTGAGGGAGAGACCATCTGTGTTTCACATGACATTTACTGTAAGTTCTCCTGTTTACTGCTAGGAGAGTTACAATGTTTTTGTTCTACTCTTAAGGTAAACCTCAGTATTTTCTTGGCTCTTGAGCATTGAGAGGTAGTATGCAAAGAGTTCATTCCTTTCTTTCAAAGTGTTACAGCCCTTTAGGTATCGTTCTATTTCAGGATTTTAGAACACATTCAAACACTGCATCAGGAATGTCCGTGGAGGTGAATTAATTCATTGCTTAACTGCATCCACAAATTTAAGCTATACAATAAGTAAGGATGTGACTTGAAAAGTGTATCAGCTGCTGTGCGCTAATTCCCTGTTGGGATGTGTGAAATGTACTGCGTGGAGTAATGGACACATGGCTTTCTCATGCTGGTTTGACTCATGTTTGGCACCCCGATTTAAGAGCAGCTCTGTTGTGGGTTTCGGCACCTCCTCTTTTTTTTGGTCTCACGTTAATTCTAGCTGAGATGGTGTATGTGAGCAGTCTGTCTTTTGAGTATGGAAGGGAGTTTCTTCCTGCAAGTGCAGCATACAGAAGACTGACAACTTGGAAACATTACCAAGCAGCTTTCATTCTTCAGTTTTCAAATTAATTTGGACTTGGTAACAGGAAATGTGGGTAAAGAGAGAGCGCTTTTGGTGCCCTATTACCCATCAAAGAGAAAGGAGTGACACTGCCTTTAGGGGCAGTTTCAATGAGCATGACCCACAGAGATTGATCTGGCTGTATAATCATTTTGAAGGAAAAGCACTTATGAGTAACCTTTGTTTGAAAGTATTTCACTCTGAAGAGAGACCATAACTTACTGAAGCAGTCTGTCATAGCTGTTAAGGTAATCTATTAAGAGACATTACAATACAGCTGAGACCATTGGTCTCTTCTTCAATTAAAGCAGCTTACCGTTGTGGTTATTGGGTGGCTTGTGCTGAGGATATTTATAGAAGAGATAACAATAAATTATGTATTTCCAAGGCAGTGCCACCTGAATATTTGCAATGTCAAGTGATTTTTCAGGCTGTAGAGAGAGCTTAGTGCTGAAATGAGTACAAATGCCGTGTGTAGCAGATAAGGAACGGTAGGACACTGTTACCTGATGCTTTGGTATACTAATTCTGGGGTTAGGGAAGATAATGTGACAAGAAAAGGAAATTCAGATATAGAGAGTTTGAGTAATAGTTTTGTTTGCATGTACAATTCAATTTAACTGTCTAACAATTTAATTGCTCCATAGAGTAATAATGTGCTATAACAGTTACCTTCTTTTTCTATAAAGAATTACTAAAAAAACCCTAAAATTTAAGCACATCTGTGGTGCCAGAAAGATATAGAAACAAGTTCTTT